TGATCCCATCCGGCTCTTCTGACATGTTTGATCTCCTGAATACTTTTAAAGTTTACCATAGAAAGGGTCAAAAACAAAGCAGTCAACTGATTGGGACGTGTCGCACATAAGTACATAAAATATTTTAGAGTCTGACCTTTTCCTTATTTTGCGAAAAACGATCAAGCAGTCCATCTATTGAATAAACGAGAATCATATACCTCTTTTGCCAATCTGGGCACTGAGAAATTGTCACGTTGCGTCTTCTTACGGCAATATCAGAATTACCTCGTGACTAACAGCAGTACTTTGCTCCAGCTACAGTAACGAGATGGTACGCGGATGCGCATTCATTCTTCCAACTCTGAGACGAATCCACGCCTCCTACGAATTATAGGTGTTCGTATACATAGCCTTAGTAAGAGGCTTTTCTCCAGCTCTGTAAACCGCTACGGAATCGCTCTGAAGACGATGCATCAAATCCCGCAAGCCGTCATCCGCTTCATTCTCCTCTATGGATCTGTGAACTGAACCCTGAGAGTCAGAGACACACGAGAAACTAGAATTCTTCGACCAGGGTGTCTACGGATCATCGCAGGGGTACGATTTGCCCATCATTTATATTCAAAGACATGACCTTTGTCCCCTGCGGCATTATCACCCTCTCTACGGTGCCGAGAGAACGTTGGCGACTGCGTTCGCTCGGTTGCACGTTGCGATGTGCACCAACACCAGAAGATGACATACTTATTCCGCCGGACGCATCCACCATCCCTAAATGGTGCGGAGAAATGGCGGACAAGTTGACACCTTGTGAGGACAGTGAGGAAGAAGTGACTGAACTTGGTGGCGAACATTGTGCGTGATCGACAAGAAGGAAAACAATAACTCAATACCTCAGTAGTCGTCTTAGCTGGTGGTGATGACTGCAAGTCCAAGAAGCCGTAGCCTGCTTAATTGGTCTCCCTTGAGTCCACAAGCAGTGATGCTCCGTAATATCGCGTTATAACCTGAAGCCATGGCATCTGCCATAACATCAGTACAAACCAACGCTAATTAGTTATCAATGAAAGAAATCTCACCACTCAGTGCACGTGCTTTACCAATGATTTTTTGGCAAGCA